AGTTCATCATTGTCATTGAAGTTATGGCTTCTCCTAGTTGGTGGTGATTGACGGGAAGCAGTAATACTAATTCTCTCAATAGAAGCACAATTTGGTGGATGGTATTCTTGGCTGAGGAGATGCAGAGGAACAGAGCCGTTTATTTATCAGGACAGTCCCCTGTGTTTCCAAAGGCTGTCCGGCTATTGATCTTTTCCTCATCACATCTCTGCAAGGAGAGCAGTTGTCCTCATGTAAGAAGCCAGGAAACCAAAACACGAATGCTCACAGAAACCTGCGTTACTGGGGAAGGAAGGGGCTAAACCCTAACAGTGAGGGGCTGACAGGGTCTCCCAGTAGATCAGAGCTGGGGAACTTGGATGGATCTCTAGTCCAAAAACAGAAGACATTTTTCTCTACTCTTATTGAGGCATAACTTACGTGTAATAAAATTCAGCTGTTGTAAATGTATAGTTTGATAAGTGTTGGCAATTGTATACAGCTGTGTAACCATCATAAGACACAAGATACAGAGCATTTCTGTAACCCTCAAGCCCCTCATGCCCCTTTGCAGTCAGTCCCCTCCCCCATCCCAATTCCAGGCCACCCCCACTGCTTCTGTTGCTGTACTTGGGCAGGGCTCTCATCGCAGGCCTTTGCACAGTCTGCTTCCTGTACCTGGGTGCTCCTACCCACTCATCCCACATGTCCCTTCCCCTGGGAAGCATCCTGAACCCCTCAGACCAGATCAGGTGACTCTCCTTGTGCCCCTCCGTCCCAGTTCCTGTCACAGGAAGTGCTGGTGCCTGTGACAAGTCTGTGTCCAGCTCACTTCCTGTTATACCTGAAGTCACCTGAGGGGGACCCTGTCTTATCCAGCCCTTGGGGGTGACGGGGGATAGAAGTATCAGACATCTTTTATTCCCTCTTTCCTGCTTTGTTTTTATATTTTCCTAAAAGAGTATTTCCAACGTTGTCATTAATTTTGTTTCCTTGAGGATACACAATTGGTGACAGCAGCTGCTACAGTTCTGCTCATATTGAGGACAATGACTGAAATAGGTTAAGAAGAAGACAGGGTAGTCTATCTAAAAGCAAAATGCATTTTTTCTTGAAGAAGATCTTGCTTGTTTTCGCCATTGCGTCACCAGCATTTTACAGCAGAACAGCTGGTTAGGTTGTAAACTAACACGATGGAGATGGGGGTGGAGACGGATGCGAAACTTCACTCCAGTGAGAACTCTGCTATTCCCTCTTCTTACACGTGTGGGACACCTTTCAATGAATGGGCGTGGTGAGGCTCATCTCTGATGCATCAGAGGTGAGATGATGTAAGGATGACATCAGTCAGAAGCTCTGACCAAATGCGCCTCTGGGCATGATCCCATATGGGACGATGTCTAGCCTAAGAACAGACTTCTGCCTATCGTCTAAGTGTTCCTAAATGGCACCCAGCAGACCAGGGACAAAGCTAGACGAATCTTAGCCACATATTCAGGCAGGCAAACATTCGATAGTATAATAAATAAGGAAATAATAAATAAGGAAAACTGACACTTTATTTGAGGTTGTCAATTACACTCTATTACCTTTGGCTAATGGTGCCCCTCTGCCAGACCACAGTCTGAGAAAATCAGAGGGCAGAGACCGAGCTCATCAGAGTCGGGCACACGGGGCGATGCTGCATACACATTTGTGTTAGGCATTTTCATGAACATGATCTGATTTAATCTTCATAACAATCCCATTTCACAGATGACAAAACTGAGGTGCAGAAGACATAAAGAAAGTCCCAAAGCTCTGAGGTGATGACAGGCGCACATTCCCCTTCGGGGTGCTCATCCCCACCTCTCGCCCTCCTGCTTGTTGCTGTGAATCTGGGTCCTGAGAGTAAGCAGGGAGCAGGCAGGCAGGGCAGGGGCATCTGGGTGTCTGCTGCAGGCGAGGTGAGATTTCATGAATTTCGGATTCCAGGAGCTGCCAGGATGACAGAAGAGCAGCAAACAAGGGCAGCCCTTTTGCAGCCTAGGCACAGAGTATGGCTTGAGGAAGAGAGAGGCCCTGAGTCACTCTACAGCAAAAGAAGACAGTGAGAGAACTGGAGAGTGCAGGGCACCCTGAGGAGGGCTGGGAAGCAGAGGTGGGCATTTTCAGATGGTGCGGGAGGCCAGAGCGGGGCGTGGGGGTGGGAATACATCCTGAAGAGAGACATGCAATGCATTAAATTCACGGCTGCAAACTGATGGTCCGCAGGCTGAATTTGGCCCAAACTCCTCTTTCCTGTGGCCAGTGGAGTCTAAGAAAAAGTGTTTTGATGCTCCAGATTTGGGCATGAATGGACTCTGTGGTGTCCACATCCCTTGGCTCCCTGCCAGACACAGCTGCTTCACTCCCCTGTGATGCTCGCCTGGTCCGAGGGTGTTGGGTCTGCTATTCTGCCTTAACCGCTCCTGTTCTCTGTGACTCCCCTGGCCTGGAGCCCCAGGAGTTCAGCCCAAAAGGAGACTGAAGCAGGTGTAGCATGAGTGGTTTCCGCAGCTTGCTGCCTGCATTCTTTTGGGCCCACCCTGATGGGATTTTCAGCTTGGTGGGGAGGCCTCCCTTGTTTTCAGCAGTTCTCTGAACCTGGTTCCTAAGTCCGCAGCCTCAGCAGCCCTCAGACCCAAACACACACAGGGATCCAGACAAGCAACTGTGAAGCGCCCGACAGCGTGCACAGTCCACGTTCAGGCCCAGGCTTCTCTTTTCTTAAATAAGTTAAATGCTTCAGAGTAAAAATGAACCCGCTAATTTTTGTGGAAAAAAAAATCTAATGAGCACTTCCTTCCCAAAATTGTCTCTCCCCTGAATGCCAGAGACTTCTTATGAACTTGAAATTATCAGGATCAGGATCATTTTGTATTAAGGCATTCCAGTAAACAACCGTGCAGACGGGAGTGCTTTCCTTTGCGCCGCACCCCCCCCCACCGTGAGGACCACGTTCCACAGTGACACGTGCCTGCCAGGTCCACTGGGGCCAGTAGGCAGGCAAGGTGACTGGAGGGTGCCCCCTCACACTGTCCCTACAGACTTCCCCTCAATGCCTGAAGCACTGCCAAAGCCCTGCTGGCCACTTCCAGGCCAGCTCTTCAGGATAAGGATAACCTAGGAGAGCATTTATTCAAATCAACAAATAGTTATTGAGCGCCACTACATGCTTTAAGATCTTTAAACAAAACCTAGGATAGTCCCTATTTCCAAAGAAATCTGCTTCGGGGTGAGGGGCTTGCTGCAAAGTTAGTCATATCTCTGCTCACCAGCTGTATGACCTTGATAAAGTCAAATTGCTACTGCTGAAGCTCAACTTTCTTCCTTGCAAAATGGAAAAATAGTACCTACTCTGCAAGATGGCTGTGACTGTGACATCCCTATGCTCAGCCCTCATCACCTCAGTCTCCCTGGGGCCAGCTCTGGACACAGACATGACCATAGCATAAGAGGAGAGAATCAAAGACTGTGTGCCTTGGCTGCACGTTAGAATCACAGGGGAGCTTTAAAAAATCCTGATGCCCAGGCCACGCCCCAGGCTGATGGAATCAGACACCCCGGGGATGGAGCCCCGGCGTCAGCTTTTTGTAAAGCTCTCAAAGTGATTCCAACGAGCAGCCAAGGTCAACAGCCACTGATCCAGAAGGAAAGGGAAGAGAAGCGGAATTATTTCATCTGTATAGAAAGAAAGTTGGGGAGGTTATTATGACTACTTATCATTAATTATAGTATTACGCCCATATAATTTGAGGTTTAAGAACTACAAAAGTTGTATTTATTCAGAACATTATAAATTGCAAAACACCTTCACATTCGTGATCAAATTTATTCTTCAGAGAAAATTAAAACTGAGGAAACTGAGGCCTGGAGAATTTAATGACAAGCAGAAGGTACATCAAGTTGGTGGACAAACAGGTCTGGAGTAAATGTCTGCGTTCAAACCCCTCTCTCCTCCCACCCTGCCCCACCACCAGGGTCAGTCCCTCTGAGAGCAGTGATCCATACCTTCACACTAAATTTCGGACCCACGTGTCCAGATGCCCCTGCAGGACTGCCCTCTTGGGTGTTAGCGTCAAGCAGCTCTGTCCAGCGATGCTCAAGGCCACTCCCACAGGCCCTCCTCTCTAGGGTTTCCCATCTTTGCACAGGCACAGCCACTGGAGTCTCCACTGACACCCCACACCTTCATTTACCACATGGAGTTGAGCACCTCCAGAATACCTTGTGAATGCGTCCACTTTTCAGTATCCTGGCCCCTACCACCCCGTCACAGCTTCTCCCTGGGCAGTTCCAATAGCCCACCAACTCCTTTCCCAGCACCCACTCTTGTGCTCCTGTCTGCTGGACACACTGAGGTCTGGGAGTTGGGCAGAGTTTCATCATGTAAAAAAGTGAGCATTCTTGAGTGTCTGACATGTATAATTCCATACACAAGTGCACGTGCACACATGCACGCACGCACCTCAAAGCTGCTTGTTCTGGGTGTGTCACACACTAGGACCCTTTTCTGTGACAATCCCCTTTAGTAAAAGGCTTGAAAACATTCAGAAATATGCAAACTGCCTTCTCCCAGTTACATTCGTGGGACCACAGGCAAGTTCTGTACCTCCTCAAACGCCTCACCTATAAGATGAGGAAGGTAACGCCCACTCATGGGATGTTGTGATGATTAAATGAACTGATGGCGTAAAATGCCTGGCACACTCTACTTGCCGATAAAAGTTGAGAGGCCGTTCTTCTGTGAGGAGGAAGGAGGGCCAGAGGTATTTTCCAGGTGCCTGTGACATGCCGCGCTCCACAGGGGAGCTCTGCGGTCCCATCACTGCATCCCGACAACAAGCATGAGGTGATGTTGTAATCCCCCCAGTGAGGTTCTGTGGCTGGCCAGGGTCCCCCTCAGGTCAACGGCAGGGTCTGATTCAGACAGTCTGTACCATCCAGAGTCCGAGGGAGCGTGTTCCATGGGGTTCGTCTGACACTTTCTTTCTCAGGGGATGAACAACCAGTACGCCCGCCGGGAGGTCTTCTGCCGGAACACCTGCCGCGAGCTCAGACGCTTCTGGGAAAGGGAGATCGGCAAACAGACTTACTACCGCGAGTCAGAGGAACACCGCTTGGGGAGAAGTGCCCTGAGAAAGTAGGTGGCTTCTTCGTCTATTTTTTCATTAACTACTTTTCAAAAATAGACTTTATTTTTTAGAGTAGTTTTGGGTTCACAGTAGAACTCAGCAGAAAGTAGAGAGTCCCATATACCCCTCCCTCCGTGCACAACCTCCCCCACTGTCAACATCCCCCACCATGAACCTACATTGACACATCGTTATCACCCTTGTTTGTTTATTTTTAAAGCAAAATTGATTTCCCCAGAAGAATGCCAGTTGGGCATCTTAGAGCACGTAGTTATCTTAATTTTCCATGCATATGTTCCTGCCACCATATATAGTTATGGGCGGTAATTTTCTTTTTTGCTAGGAAAGAGTCACCCTGAGCTAACATCTGTTGCCAATCTTCCTCTCTCTCTCTTTTTTCCCTCCCCAAAGCCCAGTATAGTTGTATATTCTAGTTGTAAGTCCTTCTAGTTCTTCTATGAAAGCCGCTGCCACAGCATGGCTACTGACAGACGAGTGGTGTGGTTCTGTGCCCGGGAACCCAACCTGGGCCACCAAAGCAGAGCATGCTGAACTTTAACCACTAGGCCACCAGGCCGCTATACCACCATCTATAGTTATGGGCAGTAATTTTAAAAATTCTTCTAAGTTAAAAAATGTACACTCTAATTCTTATCTTTATGAACAGAATAATCTCTCCTGTCACCATGTCTAGCGCATGAGGGTTACACTAAGTTTGGGGAGTGGGTCAGCAGAGGTGTCCGTGAAAAGCAATCAAGCAAAGGAGACAGTGACCAATTCTCAGCGCTCGTTTAGGTAAAGACACAGGACAGCCCGCGTGTTCAGGGAGGAGGGCTGATGGGCTCTCGCCCTCTAGTGTGCATCCCTGTTGTAGCCGGCGAGTCCACTGGGTGGAGAGCAGTAACTCACATGAGAGACCAGGGTCGCCGTCACGTGGAAACAGTGGCAGCTCACCACTGCCACACACACTGCCACTCGGTTGCTGTGGGGAGCCACCCATAGGCCGCAGTGAGGGCCAGGCCTGTCTGGGTTCTCTGTCCCCTCGTGGCACAGCTCAGCTGCTGTCTGTTCACCGAGGCCACAGCTTGTGCATGTTGGGGCAGGTGTGTGCTGACTGGACAGCAGTGTGACTCCATTCTGTCAGGCCATGGTTGCTGGGCTGAGAGCATGCATTAATTCACATGACAAACTCACTGTTGTCTTCCAGCCCCCCGAGCCCTAGAGGGGAGCTCAGCCTCTTCCACATATAGAGACCTGCTCAGCCACGTTCCTGGCCACAGGCAAGAAAAAGCAGGTCGTCCTACCTGCTGAAGCATCGTGTTACGGTATCTTGTCCAGAGATTCTCAGAGAAGCTGAGTCAGTCGTTTCTGCCATCCCTGCCATCTTCCTTCCCCCAGGCTAGGCCACTCAGCATGCTGCACACCAGGGTCCAGAGTGAGTTCTGTGCCATGCGTGTTTCCCTGGGGAGCACACAGAAGGCCTCAGGTGGAGTGAAGCTGGCCTGAGCAAGACACAGAAACCAAAAGCCTGGAAGTGAGGTCCAAGCCAAGGGGTGAGCCTATTCTGGCTCTGGAACAAACTGTGCAGTTTGTTAAAGCATTAAAATATATGTCTGTGCATATAACAGAAGACTGCTGGAAATAGGCTCTCTGGTTGGTGGGATGGCAAGACTTCAACTTATTATTTATCCCCCGTTCTCACCCCTCTTCTGATATGAACCCGGGAGCCTGGCTCCAGAGGGTCTCTGCTCTTGACACTACTCCGTCTAGTCCCTTCACAAAACGGAGAAGATAGTCCCAGCTCAATAGGTTGTTCTGAGGCTTGAATAAGAAAATGAGCCTAAAGCACCCTGGGTGGTGTGTGGCCCCGGGTCAGGGCTCAGAAATGTCTGTTCCACCACCACCCCCACCCCCCGTCCTCCGCACTCCCACTCAATCCAGGATCCATCGAATGTAGCAGCAGCAAGATGCCAAAGGAAGAGCCCCGGCCTTTGGGTCTCTGGGTGAGTTAGCAAAGCTCCCCGTGCCTCAGTTTCCTCCTTGTTATTTTTATCATAGAGAAACTAAGAAACTAAGAGAAATAGGGGGAATGTTGGGGAGTTACTGCCTTTTATTAGTGGGGAGCAGTTGGTTGATAGTGTTGTTCAAGTGTTCTATGTTCTTATTGATTTCTTGTCTACTTGTTTTATTGATGGCTGAAATATGAATACTGAAATCTTCAACTATAATTGCGGATTTGTGTATTTCTCCTTACAGTTCTATCATATTTTGTTTCCTGTATTTCAAAGCTCTGTTATTACTTAAATGTTTAGGATTGTTATAGCCCCTTGATGAATTGACCCCTTTATTGCAAAATGACCCTCTTTCTCTTGCGTAATATTCTCTGCTATGAAATCTACCTTGTCTGATGCTAATATAGCCACTCCAGCTTTCTTTGATTGGGGTTAAGATGGAATATTTTTCCATCTTTTTACTTTTAACCTATTTGTGTCTTCACATTTAAAGTGATTTTCTTGTAAGCAGCATATATTTGGATATTGTTTTTTATCCAATTTGACAATCTTTGCATTTTAATTGGATTCTTTACATCATTAATATTGATTGGTATGATTGAGTTAAATCTTCTATCTTGCTGTTCATCTCCTATTTCTCTCACCTGACCTTTATTCCCTTTCTTTTTCTGCCTTCTTTTGGATTAAATTTTTTTTTCTGATTCCATTTTACCTCCTCTGTTGGCTTTTTAACTATATTTCTTTGTGTTATTTTAGTGGTTGCCTTAGGATTTATATTTATATCCTTAAATTATCACAGTCCACTTTCAAGTGATACATCATGTTCTGTAGAGTGTGAGAACCTTACAGTGTATAGTCCCATTTCTCCCCTCCTGGCCTTTGTGCTAGTATACAAAGTATAATTTGACTTCCACATATGTTATAGACTCCACATTACATCAGTAACAGTTTTGCTTTCAACTATTGATTATGTTTTAAAGAATTTTATTTTTTATTATTTTTTTTGTGTGAGGAAGATCAGCCTTGTGCTAACATCTGCCAATCCTCCTCTTTTTTTTCTTTTTTGCTGAGGAAGACTGGCCCTGGGCTAACATCCGTGCCCATATTCCTCCACTTTATATGGGACACCGCCACAGCATGGCTTGCCAAGCGGTGCATTGGTGTGCGCCCGGGATCCGAACGGGTGAACCCCGGGCCACCACAGCAGAGTGCGTGCACTTAACTGCTTGCATCACCGGGCCAGCCCCTAAAGAATTTTAAATAGTAAGAAAAAAATTATTAATATGTACCCACACAATTATCATTTCAGGCGCTCTTCATTCCATTTCATAGATCCAGATTTCCATCTGGTCTCATTTTCCTTCTGCTTAAAGGACTTCCTTTAACATGTTATTAGTGACAGTCTGCTGGTGATGAATTCTGAGTTTTTGCATGTCTGAAAACATCTTTATTTCACCTCTGTTTTTGAAAGATACCTTTGCTGAATGAACAATTCTAGATTGACAGGGGTTTTTTTCCCTGTACTTGAAAGATATTGCACTTTCAAAGGAACATTCAGAGGATTAAGATTAGAATACTTTGAACAGAAGTGAGAGTTAAAATATGTATATATTTAAATTTACAAATCCTTTGCATACCTTTTAAAACCTAAACACACATACACACAAACACCTTCAGAGAAAAAAGGAAGGAAGCTTCCCTGAACCAAGAGCCATGGAGATGAACACTCCATTTGTGTGCGTTTTGTTTCTATTTTCAGGCTCAGAGAAGAATGGAAGCAGAAACTGGAAACAAAGCTGAGACTGCGGAACAATCCAGATGAGACTGAAAAGCGGGCCAGTGTTGGCCGAGAGCTTCTTGCTTCATTGACACAGGAGAATACAAACCACTGAGGTCACTCTGCTTGGAGAAATCAGTGCAAATCCCTGAGCCCCTTTGCCATTCCACACAGACCTCATGCCACTGTTTCCCTCACCTATGAGGGGATTTACACATAAATCCTTCCCCAGGGCTAAATGAGAATTATTAGCCAAGTCAATCCTTTCTGCATGGGGGCCAGGATATTATCCCACTTGTCTCTAAAGATGAGATTATTTAATATCAAAATTCCATGCAGCATACTTTATTTCCATATAATTATCTTTTAATTTTGAAATCCAAATATTGTAAATTCTAAGCACACTGGGGGGATGATCTTCATGGTCATGCTTTAAACGCTGCATAGTAGTTTTGCTCCATGTTTCTCCTAGGAAACAGTTTCATGTAATCCTATCTCTTGTTTTCTTTTGATGAAAAGAGAAATGCACCTATCTGCAGAAATAAAGATGTTGTCAATAGTCATTAAAAGAAGGTTTGCAAATAAGTTGATCTAATATTATTTTTTCTTTATATGAATTTAATTGGCTTTTGCAAAAACATGTTTACCTAGAACCTTTCAATAAGATCAGGATAATTTTAATAAAACTTGGTTGTCTTGCCAGTGTGCATACTCTTCATTTTACTGATTTATTTTAAATCTCCTCAAGTTTGCACTGGTTAGCTCTCTGTCAGTTCAGCTAAAGTATATCTGACCACCCCAACAAAGTGTTTGCCACATAGATTCTGGACATTGAAATGTCACTATCACTCCCCAGCCATCTCTCAGGTCCCCAGTATAGGATTTCTGCTTTCAAAAGTGCAAATTGTAACTGGGTCTAGAGCAACAGTTTCCAGCCATGGCAAGGGAGCAGAGATGCGTGTTGTAAAGTACTCGATGCTTGTAGGTAGCACCTGCAAGGCCTTACATACACAGGGGCAATGTTACAGGGAGACACACAGAGCAAGGCAGAGGCAATTCTGGACAGTAGCAAGTATGGTATTCCAGCCTGTAAATTCCCTGATGTGCCATAAAGTGCTTCCATCCACGTCCCAGAGCCCAGACGACTTCATCAGGGCGATGGGAGCCACCAGGAGGCAAGAAGTGTAGAGAGATAATTTCCCGAGGTCCCATACTTATATGATCCAGGAAACAGGGCTCAGAGCCCTCCCTCCTGCTATGATCCCTCATTCAGTCTGGGATTCAGTTCAACTAATAAACGATGAATTCCAGCTGAGTTCATTTGAGAGCATTTTGATGAAAGAGGAATTTTTGTTAGATATAAGAGGAAAACAGGAATTAAATAGAGGGAGAAGAGATGATAGGGCTTGCAGGCTGAGAGGCTCCCGGAAACAAAGGCCCACCATCATGAGCTGTAAAACGCTGCTGCTGGAATCTAAATGCAGTAGAGTGAGGCAGAAAATGCAGGGGAAGATTCGTTGTTCATTTACTAGTTCACCACACACCAGGCACTGTGCCAGACAACTGGAATACAGCAGAAAAGACCAGAAGCACTGGCTCTGGAGGGTACAGTCTAGGGAAGATGGCAGAAAAGTCAAGGCAATTAAGTGTGAGGGGCTTTAATGCTGGAAGCCACAGCAGGCAAAGGTGCACACCCCGTATGGGGACCCATTCTGGCCTAGGGAGGGCTTCTTAAGAACAGGCTAGTTAAGCCCAAGTAAGCATGATCCAGGTAAAGGTGAGATTCAGGGCTCACGGGTTCTGGGTGCCTTGAGAGAATATATTCAACAAAGCTAGATTGGAAATGAGGAGAATGTGTAGCAAGAGCTGAATCTGCAGAAATCAGCATACAGGGCCTTTGGGGCTGAAAGTTTGAGCTTTTCCCAATGGCACAGGAAGCCCCTTAAGGATGTTAGCCAGGGGAGTGCTAGCTACAATGGCCATGGTTCTGGAGGGTTACCCTGCACTGAAAGGTGGGAGGACAGAGGTGGGAAGTCCAGCTAGAAGCTTCTGCAGATGATTCCCGAGAAGGGGGAAGGCCTACATTGAGGCCTTGGTGCCCTGGCAGCAAGGACTGGGAAAGAAAGGGGGAGAGAAGGATAAGTCCCCTTTTTTTCACAGTACTGCAGGCTGGAAGTCCAAGATCAAGGTGCCAGCATGGTTGGTTTCCAGTGAGAGCTATTTCTTGGCTTGTAGATGGCCACCTTCTCACTGTGTCCTCATATGGCAGGGGGATAGAGAGAGAGAGAGAGAAAGCTCTCTAGTGTCTTGTTATAAAGGCATTAATCCCATCATTAATCCCACAAGGGCCCCACCCTCATGACCTCATCTAAACGTAATTATCTCTCAAAGTCCTCATCTCCAAATATCATCACATTGGAAGTTAGGGCTTCAAGATATGAATTTGCAGAACGGGAAGGGATGACACACAGTTCAGTCTATAGCAGAAAGGGATGCTTTAAATCTGTGTATCAAATCCTAGACACATCCCTGGACACATCCCATTTATAAAACAGACCAGGATCAACACAGTGAAAACTTTGAGAGCTGAACTATGGTGTGGAACATTGTCCAGCTTTCCAATTGGCCTCTGGGTAGCTCATAAGCCCCAGACCACAAAAGCAGTGCAAAGGCTTTGAAAAGTAATTGACATTTAAAACATAGCCCACAAAAGTGGGCCAGGACATGGTTTCTGGACATAAATAGATTGACTGCCTGCTAAAATAGATATGTAAAAAGGAGACTCTCATAACCTTGTACTCAAAATGTCCGGGATATAATCTAAAATTACTCATACCCAGAGCCAAGAAAATCTTAAGTCCAACGAGAAAGGATAATCGACAGACACTAGTAGTGACATGACACAGATGTTTGGAATTATCTAACAAGGATTTTAAAACAGTTATAAAAATGTTCCAACGAGGAATTACAAGCACTCTATAAGCAAATGGAAAATGTAAAAAAAAAACTCAGCAAAGAAGTAAAAGATGTAAAGAAGAAACAAATGGAAATTTTGGAAATGAAAAATACAATAACCAAAGTAAAGGAACAAATGACAAAAATAACACTGGATAAGTTTAACAGCAGAATGAAAAACAATTAAGAAAGAATCAGTGAACTTGCAGATAGTTAATAAAACTATCTAATTTGAACAACGAAGAGAAAATAGTTTTGTTTTTTTTAAAAGGAACGAAGTCTCAGGACCTGTGGGACAGTAACAAAAGATCTAAACTTTGTGTCATTGGAGTCTCAAAAGGAGAGGAGAAAGCATGGGCTGAAAAATATTTGAAGAAATAATAGTTGAAAACTTCCCAATTTGGCAAAAGACATAAACTTACAGATTCAAAAAGCTGAGAGACTCCCAAACAAGATAAACCTAGAGAAATCCATATAAAGTTACGGTACAGTCAAACTTCTGAAAACTAAAGAAAAAAATCTTTAAATCAGACAGAGAGAAATGATGCATTACCTATAACATAACAACAATTCAAATGACAGCAGAATCTCATCAGAAATCATGAGCGCTAAAAGGAAGTGGCATAACATTTCTCCAGTGCTCAGAGAAAAGAACTATCAACCCAGGATTCCATATCCAGTGAAAATAACTTTCAGGAATAAAGGTGAAATAAAGATGGTCTTAAAGGAAGGAAAACTAAGAGAATTTGTCACTGCCAGACCTACTTTAAAAAATTGCTTCAGGAAGTTCAGCAAATGAGGCTGTTCTTTAGAGACAGGGCCTCCCACATCACCTGTAAAGCCTGCCGGGACCCGAGGCCCCAGATGTCGGGCAACGCTCTAGAATGCCAAGTTGCACCCCTGGGGAAAGTATCAATCTGAGAGGTTTGGTGTGGTGGGCTGGTTACAGGGAGGAGAGCACCCAAGAGTCCACTCATCTCAGGGACAAAATTCTGCAGATAAACCTCTCCCAGTTCCATTTCAAGGGGACCCAATAACCTAGGCTCTCCAGAGCAGCCCTGATTTCAGACGTGCCACCAATATCTGATCTTGTGTTGAAATGTTAGTGAAGAAATGTGGTCACCACAACTATCCTCCAAGAACATACCAGGCCTTTCTCATCGCTCTCAGATTCACTCTTCCAGGTGAGTAAGTAGTCCTGTGCACTCACTGGATAAAAGGGCTAGTGACCTGGAGAAGCCCCTGGACGGGATAGCATATATTTCACAGGGACCAGGGAGCTGGTGCTGTTTGTCTTGAAACCACAAAGCACCTACTGTATTGGGCTAACTTTCCATATAATATAAATATACAGAAAGAGAATTCTACTATGCGTAAATCTAGCGAGGTAAACTTCGTCACCTTCGTCATGCAAGATCTGAGCTTCTGTTTCTTCCTCTTTAAAATACAGTTAATGATAGTACCTTCCTCATAAGCACATTGGCTGACAGTAAGTTGTATAGGCAAATAGATGGTGTAAATGGTGGTATAAACAACTGAATAGACTGCTAAGCTTCTAAGAATGATGATAATTTTTAGTGTTATAAAAAGATTCAAACGAGTGCATTTAGAGGCTTCTTCTACATTTAAACTTTCAAGATCAAAGCATTTTTTCTTCTAAGAGGGTTTTTGCAGAAAGCTTCTCCACCCCCACCTCCAACTTCTCATTCTCTTCCAGTCTCATTGTCTCCACATATGGTGCCCCATTTACCCAGGTACTCAGACTAAATTCTAGTCCCCTCCAACTCCCCTCTTTCCCTTAAACCTCTCATCTAAGCCACTCACCCATCCTGCCCGTTTCACCTTCAAAACGTCAGTTTCACCTTCCACAGTTTATAAGGTTTAGAATCAAACCCTGACAGCCTAGTTCAAGGGTGACAGTAATTTTAACACAATTAAAATCTATCATCTTTATACTGTTTAATTTATAAGAGAAGGTCAGAATCTCCCGTTTAAAGAGAAGGCGAGAGTTTCCCATCCTCCCCAAGCTCACTTCCTCCAGGCTGTTGCCACTCCATTTCCAGGAGCAATGTCTTACTTAGGATAGGTGCAAGGGAGCTGGGTTGGTGGGTTGTAGAAAGTCACTCTGGAAGCTCGGTAGAAGTGGTACTTTTAAAATGG